GCATCTCTGCTCTCCCTGCAAGATGAGTTGTGGATATGCTAGCCCAAAAGATCTTGGTCTTCTCCTTCCTCTACCAGTACCTGCAGATACAGCTTGCCCTGTATCTCTGTGGGAGGCTCAAGTTGGAAGTATAGAGTCCGGCATACTTACCCCCTTTGAACCTTCATTGCAGTCAGAGCTCTCCTGCTTCTCTCTTTTCAACTTCATTTTGGTGTTTGAATCACAGATGCCGAGTAGAGGCTTTTATAGCCAAAACAGACAGCGCAGGGGATGGGAACGCCCTGCACAGAAAATCCCCCTCTGTGACTTCTCAGAAAACATCCAATCAACGCCAAGCTCTATCAGCCAAAGTTGTTATTCTCTGGCCATTCCCTTACTCTGCGTGACTCCCTCGCGTCTTCTCTTTCTTTTCCTCGTTCAAGTCTGTCACCGCTAGGTCAGATGTTCTTTTGCCGGATCCTGACTCAAAACTGAGGTGCTGCCTAGCTACAGGGGAAACAGGCCAGTCTCTCCGACTAGAAGGGGCAGACTTATCGCAAAAGCTGCTAAATGAGCTGTTTTCCCCCAGCTATGTGCACATGGACAAGATGAGTCTGTAGCAATAGGGCTGCTGCTCCTTCGCGCCGCCGCTCACGGGCAGCTGCGGAGAGCGCAGCTGGAGAGGCTGCCCGGCGACTGCTGCGTTCCGGGGAGAATGGGGCATTCTGTGGGAGCAGCCTTGGCAACAGAGCGGGTGTTTGCCATGGGCCACAGCGATAACACGGAACTGTATTAACCCTCCGGCAGCCACGGATTGCGTATCTGCCCTTGGGCCTAAATATCGCTCATTGTCCTACCTTGCACGAACCAGCTTGCTTCGGGGCATTTCTGCAGTTCACAGAGAACAGGTTCATCCTCTCGGATTTGTGTTTTTGACAGGACACAGAACACACAGTTTTTCCACCAAAGCACATTAGGTTCCTTTCCGTCTACATGCAAGGTGTACCACGTGTTGCTGGCTTAGCATTAACTTCCTACACTATGAGACTACTTTTAACAGTAGGTTAATAGTCGACTACAATTTCTAGAGTTTATCTGTGAACTTTGCATTTCTCTGATACCTCCAGCAGCTGGAGAAACTGGAACCAAAGCTTGCTGTTATTGGTCCATCTATCTTTAACAGCCAGCTTAAAAAAAAATGCATCCTCTTGAGCAACAGGAGTTGTTCATGTGTCTTGCATGCATTCTTTGACTGGTTGCAGCCTCCCTTGCTCTGGGTGAAAGCATCCTGCTCTAAAAATAGGAAGGGGAACAGAGCCCTGTTGCTTTCAGGGTAGCGGAAGTCCTCCCTAGACTTCTTATCATTTGTTGGAAGTTAACATCCTCAAGGACGCTGTTTGCTGGGATATCTTGACAGTGGATCACACCTCAAGAACACTCCTGGCTCTTTCAGGAGTGACTCCTGCTTCAGTCCCACCTATCACGTGGTGTCTTAACTGAAGAGAGATGCAAACCAGAATATTCATTTCGCCCATAACTCATCTTTCTCTACCTTCCCCTGCAGTCCCATTGAGCGAACGTAGCTAACTGGCACTAACCAAGACACTCTGAGCCAGCTCAGCTTTTCCCATACTGCCTTCAAACATTGCTCAAAGCACCTCAAAACAAATGGGACAGTGTCGTGGTTTAACCCCAGCTGGCAACTAAGCCCCACGCAGCCGCTCGCTCACTCCCCCTGGTGAGATGGGCAGAGAATCAGAAGAGTAAAAATGAGAAAACTCATGGGTTAAGACAGTTTAATAGGGAAAGCAAAAGCCACGCATGCAAGCAAAGCAAAACAAGGAATCCATTTGCTCCTTCCCATGGGCAGGCAGGTGTTCAGCCATCTCCAGGAAGGCAGGGCTCCATCACGCCTAACGGTGACTTGGGATAACAAACGCCATCGCTCCAAACTTCCCCCCCTTCCTTCTTCTTCCCCCAGCTTTATGTGCTGAGCATGACGCCATATGGTGTGGGATATCCCTTGGGTCAGTTGGGGTCAGCTCTCCCGGCTGTGTCCCCTCCCAGCTTCTTGTGCCCCCCCAGCCTGCTCGCTGGTGGGGTGGGGTGAGAAGCAGAAAAGGCCTTGACTGTGTGTCAGCACTGCTCAGCAATAACAAAAACATCCCTGTGTTACCAACACTGTTTCCAGCACAAATCCAGAACACAGCCCCATACTAGCTACTGTGAAGAAAGTTAACTCCATCCCAGCCAAAACCAGCACAGACAGGTCATAGCTCACTCAGCAACTAGTTCAGTTCTCACTTTCACAAATCTTTGGCCAGAAGAGGGAAAATGGAAAGTGAGCCATTCTGCCCCAGGGGTAGGGAAGTTGCAAGGACAAACTTTTCATGAAATTCCTGTTCTTGAAAGACAGTATCGTTCTTCCGGGAGTTCTTGGCAGAATGACAGCCACTTTGACGCTCAGTAATTATAAGAAAGGAGAATTCTCTATCATGGTCTTTAAACTCCTTCCCTGAACTTGAAGAAATTCTTGACACAGAAATCAAACAAGACATGTACGTTTGCCATCAGAAATCCTTCACCAGAGTAAACGCTGCTTATGGCAGCGGAACACTTTGAACATTTGACAATCACAGCAATCACTGGTAACAACATCCGTAAGGTAGTAATTGGCTCCAAGATGATCTTGGAAGAGTTCGATGAAGGGAGACAGGATGGTGAATGAATTTCTCCTTGGACTTTCAAAGCAATTGCAGGGGTATAACTTCAACAGCTGAGATCCTGTTGGACTTGGGCAAAGAACAGAGCCAGAAACAAGTAAAGGGAGCAAATTTTACAGGCGTTTTACAAGCACATTTTCAACTTCAGTGACAGCACATATTAAGCTTCTTAATCTGCTCTTCACCCCAGAGTGCAGTTGTCTGAAGACATTAACTCAGCTCTGTATCTTCTCTCCTCCACACTTGTCCACCACATGGTAAGAGTTCCCACGCATGCGTGCAGGAAACCGTTTACACTCAGCCCAACTGTCTGTGCTCTGATCCTATGAAACCCTGATACCTTTGGCAAAAATAATTAAGAGGGGAGGCTTAGTTTCCAGGAGAATAAGTCTGCTGGAGAACATTAGCAGTGAGCTATAGAAAAGTGATGGTTAGATTGGGAGCTGGCACTCAGCCATGCTGCAGTATGCTGATTGCAATGCTTGCGGTAAGGAGACTTTACCAGGAGACATTCCAAAAGAGTGACATCAGCAGCCTTTTCACCTGCATTTTGGGAAGGAATTGCACGTTCAGTCAAGGCTAATTCAATATTATATGCAGTCCTGAGCTACAACTGGGGTGTTTCACCTGAAGGTGAAACAATAATTTAAGTAACAAATGATTCCCCTGCAAATAAGTCATATACAGATACTGCTTTATCAGCTGCATAAATGGCTACCAGCCAATTAATTAAGAGGCAGATGTGGCAGTCTGATCCCCTAGCAATAGGAAAGGGGATTGCTGGATAAATAAGCACACTCTGCAGGTAAACAGTAGGAGACATGAAGCTCTGGAACTAAAAAGTAAATGAGACCCTATTTTCACCACACAAAGGTAATGCTAGGCAGCATCCTGCCAGCCTTCTTCCTTTTCCATTGCTGCTTCCAGCCCTGTGAGACGGCCAACAAAGTTTGAATCCATTCTGAGAAAAGTTCATTCACAGGTTAGAATCACATGGCAACTTACAAAGCAATACTCAACTGTCAGCCTCCGTTTTTTTCCCCCATAGCGACTTGAATTTTCTCTCTTTGGGCAGGTCCTGGGACGGCACCAGCTCTCCCCATTAGTCCCACCTACCTTACAGCCTGGCCTCATCTGGAGAAAGTGCAATTTATAATCTCATGGTTACCTAACATTTATAATCTCACATAGCTGAGAGCCACAGCCCGTAAGGTCACCTGAGCCTAAGGGAAATAAGACCCACGTACTCACTTCTCAGAGGTCTTTTCACAGTTCACAGCAGTAGGCCAGTAAGAATGAGCTGTAACAACACATACTGGTGAACAGGTTGCTCGAACTGATGAAAGGTGTACATCTCTATACATATAAAAAAGATAGGAAGAGGAACATATCTACAAACAGGTAGAAAAGATTTGTCTTCCTGTACCTGCCTTAGTCTTCAAGGTAGACACAAAAGAAACCTGAAGGAAGATCTTGCAAGTTTCTCATCCAAATTCTCCAAGGTGCCGAGACCCATCACAACATGCTTGAACAACATCTTGGTAAAGAAACAAACTTTATTTTGTAAAAGTTGGATAAAATATTTAAAAAACAAGCAAGTGAGGAGCTGTAAATAAGGTAAAACACTATCTCCAAATAGCAAACAAAAAACCATCCCCTCCCCAGCTCTGATATAACACTCCCAAAGCAAGAACAGACTGTAGCCTGTGCTTCGGCAGAAGACACCTGGAGTTCGGAGCACGTGCCAGGCACCGTCTTGCTGCTGGTGAGGGCTGTCCTTGCTGGAGGCTGGGCTGGTACACCCAGATATCCCTGAGCACCAAGGGAGTCTGCAGAGTTCAGGTTTCCTCAGGAGGCAATAACTGTGCTGCCACCACAAACCCTGATGAAGACCCATAACCACCAAGCAGAAGGAATAAACCATAGAGGAACCATCCATCACCACCCACAAAACAGGCATGCTTGCACACTATTGTCCACATTCAAGTGAAGAACAGGAGCCAGTGTGGAGCTCCCTCGAAGTCCTCACACACTAGGACTCAAAACCGTGCCCAGGATAGTCCAGTTCAGCAGCTACTGAAGTTCTCCTGTCACCAAGATATTTGTTCACCCCAGAACTCACAACACATTTGCCTTGTCAGACAGAAAAGCAAAACCCCAAACAATTTTTAAGATTTATAGTGGAGGGTGAGGGGAAGGAGGGAAGAAAACCAGGAAGTTGGAGTACAGCCGAACAGTATCTTCCAGGGGATCCTGAGCAA